GTTCATGAGTTATTCAAGAAAAACGGAAGGGGGGTCGGATCCGACCCCCCCCCCCCCCAGGCGGTCGCGGGTTAAAGATCAACTTTTGATTCATTCGAAGCGTTTTGATAAGAGAAACACGAGGCTGGTAAAATTAATTTCATGCAAATTTTAAGCTAAAAACTTTTAAGTATTTGTGGAAAAGCAATTGGTTTTCTCATAATACCGATGGTTGCAGTTGTTGTTATTTACATACTAAGCCATTGACCTTAATCAAGTCTGGCAATATATTCAGACATAGCGGTAAACGAGCTGATTGTTGTGTTAGGTTAGGCTCTTTCGGTCGATTTCAGAGTGGGAAGGATGATAGGAATTAGGGGGAGACAGGGGGCCTGGGCGGGAGTCCTGGACCTCATCCTCCGCTGGGGCCGAGCCCATCACGTGGGTTGGATTGCCCCGACACCTGGATAGCCCTGGGCGGTGTTTCACGGCCCCGCGCTGCAGCACGCTGCGCTGCGCTGCTGCATTGTTGCGGCGGTTGATATGAATTCGGCTCCGCGTTGCGAGCTTCCGAGTCTATTGATGTTCCCATGGAAATTGGAAACCTAATGCACCGGTGCGCGCAACGCACCCTGTCTAAGCAAAATTTTATCGTCGATGACCTCTAGTGACATGACCTCTGGCTGGGGCATTCCACGATAGATCGACCAAAATTTTATCAGATTTACACCCGACCATTTTTGATTTTGATGAAATCTTGTCTACAGGGTTCTCTTATGCCCTGAAGTCAATGGTGACAACGCCAGACCCCTACGGTCAGCGGTTTAGGAGATATAGCCCCGGGCATTTTGACGAGGTCACTCTGCAGAGTGATTTTTGAAGTGCTATATCTCCTAAAGGAATGAAGGAAATGCATTAAACCTTTGCATCGTTGTGATCGTGGTGAAATGGGCAATTAATTGGCCATCTCGGATTTTCAAAAAAATGATTTTGATTTTTAGCTGTGACGTCATCAATTTTTAAACTTTCTGGCTACCCCCCTAGTACATTAAAATTTGCCATTATTTTTGCTCAGAAATAAAGTTCCGTCAATTTCCTTTCGACTGGGAAAAAACAAAAATGGTAATCTTTCTACAAATATTTTATTTTATTTTTTGAAAATCGCACTACAAACTCTGATTTACAGAATCGGGTTATTAAGCAATATAAGACACATCTGCGAGGACCAGTTACTTCCAAAAAGAGGTTATCTGGGTTTCGGCATATAATATTCTTCTCTTTAACCCGCGCCCGGCTGGGGGTCCTGGATTTCCACGCCCTGCTGGGGGGGGGGTGTTTGAACACCCCCCCCCTTCTAACTCGGCTCCTGGGCCACGTTTTTCTGCAATAACTTTTGATACGCGGAAGGCGGCGTTCGAAAGAGCGTCAAAAATAATGAGGAAATCACTCCGGTCAATTTTTTGGTCAGGTCAAAGGTCAGGTCACCAGAGGTCATTGAAGGCAAAATTTCGCCGATTTCCAGGTCGAATGTCGACAATTTCCAAGAAGCCAACGCATAACTCGGGAACCAATAGAGCTACAGCGCCGCGGAAAAGCGCATTCGATAGCCCTATTAACGCCCTTTCTGAGTAATTTTCTCAGATTTAACCTAACGTCAACGGTTTTGCCTGCAGGGGGCAAAAACTGCAAAAATAACCGATTTTTTCGGAAACAGTTTTTCTGCAATAACTTTTGACCCAAGCCTTGTACGAGCTTACTTTTACCGGCATCGTGTTCCTCTCGTCAAGACGCATCGAATGAACTATAACTTGACCTTGAAAGGTCAACTTGAAAATTTGACCTCAGGTCAAGGTCATGACCTGACCGGAAAGGGTCATGTTGCATATCAGTCGATCCGTATCGTCGAGCTGAACACATCTAAGGCGTTTTCATCGCTCTAGCATGCCTCTATCAAAAGTTATTTGCGAAAAACTGTTAGATACCATTCGTGACCTAAGATGACCTCAGGGCATAAACAGGGGTCACGGACACCATTTTCATGTTCAGTGTGTCTAAACCACTTGTAATTCAGTATTTGGGAGTGTTTATAATGTCTTTCGTCCAAAAGAGGCGCATTTCAGTTTTCTCCCATTGACTTATAATGGGGAGGTCGCAAAATTGACCTGACCTTAGGTCATCGATATCAAAATTCTGAGATATACATTTTGTACATGCTATTGCTCTTAGCAATCGCTGAAAGTTTCAAAGCAATCGGTCACTCGGTGTAGCTATGACAGACATCGAAACTTTTTATGAGGTGAGGTCACTTCAAGTGACCTGGTGACCTGACCTTGAATGACCTTGGTCTGAAATTTTCACAACATGTGTAGAATTGATGTATGATAAGGTGTACCAAAAACGGCGGCGCGGAGCGCCGCCGTTTTTGAGATATTCGCGAAAAACCACAAGGGGGGTGTTCAAACACCTCCCCCCCCAGCAGGGCGCGGGTTAACTTCACTTTTGATAACAAAAAAAAAAAGAACTTTAATATTACTTGCACAGGAGTCAATATAATGGCAAAATTATACATACTTTTGAGCTGCCACAGCTGCCTTGTTTATCAACGTAGCTCAAATGACCAACCGACAGTCGATTTGCAAAGCATATTTACGAACCGACTAATTATAAACGAACAAAATAATTGGTAGTTTCAGGAAGGCGAAAGGTGGTGTAATGTGACTAGGTATTTCATCAGCGAATCATCATTTTCAACGCTGGATGCAATAAAAGCCATAAACAACGGAGTGCATTTCTATTGCAGTTGCAATAACAGACGGCAAAGCACCAAGACAGGAACGAGATCACGGCCACACAAACACACTTTTTACTTGGAACGTTTCGTCCGAGCATGCATGCTCACGACACGACCCTCATCCGTTGAGAGTTCGTGAACTCTAAGAGATGATACAGTCACAGGTGTGCAAGTAATATTAAAGTTCTTTTTTTTGTTATCAAAAGTGAAGTTAAAGAGAAGAATATTATATGCCGAAACCCAGATAACCTCTTTTTGGAAGTAACTGGTCCTCGCAGATGTGTCTTATATTGCTTAATAACCCGATTCTGTAAATCAGAGTTTGTAGTGCGATTTTCAAAAAATAAAATAAAATATTTGTAGAAAGATTACCATTTTTGTTTTTTCCCAGTCGAAAGGAAATTGACGGAACTTTATTTCTGAGCAAAAATAATGGCAAATTTTAATGTACTAGGGGGGTAGCCAGAAAGTTTAAAAATTGATGACGTCACAGCTAAAAATCAAAATCATTTTTTTGAAAATCCGAGATGGCCAATTAATTGCCCATTTCACCGCCATCGCAACGATGTACAGGTTTAATGCATTTCCTTCATTACTTTAGGAGATATAGCACCTCAAAAATCACTCTGCAGAGTGACCTCGTCAAAATGCCCGGGGCTATATCTCCTAAACCGCTGACCGTAGGGGCCTGGCGTTGTCACCATTGACTTCAGGGCATAAGAGAACCCTATAGACAAGATTTCATCAAAATCAAAAATGGTCGGGTGTTAGGCCTTGGTCGATCTATCGTGGAATGCCCCGGCTATGACCCGATCCAAAATTGGCTGAAGTATTTTTCTTCTTTTTGCTTCTTTTGACGCTACTTCGAATACCAATTAAATGCCCAAAGCTGAGTTATAAGAATGATGCTCAATCCCCATTTCCCCTAGAACAGGGCGTGAGAGTCTAGGCATTCCTGTGGGGCACGGGCTAACAATGACTATCTCATAATCATTGTGGCTATGAACGTCTACTGCCATTCTTTAACACCGGTTTCGCTGCGCTGAGCGGTGGCCGTCCCGTTTGTTAAATTCTACAGCTGGCTGGCGGAAAGCGTTACCGGCCGCCCGTCCACCGCCCGCGGGCCGGACCGAGCGGTCCCGCTGACCCTACCTGACCTGAGCGCAGCGCGATATGGGACAGGCAGACGGGGGTTCGGCTCAGCGAAGGCAGCGCCCACTGGTGCTGGGGACTTTTTTAATAGACCTACTGTACACATTAGTTCCCTGGAACTCAAACTTGCCCTGCCACATCTGTACCTGGCGCTGCTTCCTTAATTAGCACTTCCCTCACTTATTCATCACCGTAGTACATCAAGTACCTTGATGTTTCTATGTTATACATGTGCTGCCATTTTGCTGTTTTCTTGTGATGCTTGTAACAGCAGTCAAGAACACTTGGCGTCAACACAAATTGCGCTTGCATATACGGTCGTTTGTCACAAGGATTTCCTTTCAATGGGCTGCGCAATGAAATTAGTTCCGCTGGGAAGGGGTTTCGGGACAAAAAATAGCTGGTATGTCTTGATGAGTTGTACAGTAGAAATTTGTGATAGGCTGGGTATAAAATGGGAGGGTGATTCTAGCTGTGGTTTTAAAGGGACTATCCCACCTTTAACATGGGGTTTGAGTTGAGATAGCCAAGTTTGCGGCGAGGTTCAGAAACCACTATCTATCTAGGTTGCAACCCCCGCGGCCTCTTGGTGTTGAAGAAATTCGTTCCCTTCATTTGAAAATGGGCCTTGTACAAGGCCCTATCTTCAACATGGAGCGACCGTTAGTGTGACGTCACTTCGTTTAGTCATTCTGATTTAAATGGGTTTGTTCGTTGAAAAATCGCTTAAAACTTGGTCTGAACTTTGTTGTGGTGCCTACAGAGTAAAAAGAATCAGCTTTATGACAGTAATGTGGCCTGGAGAAGGAGGTAATTTTGGGCTGTGACGTCACATATTTGAAAGTTTGTGTTTGGAATATGGGAAGCCTAAGATGTTTAATGAAAAATAAATGCCAGAACCGTGTTCCTGGTCATCCAATCTATAAAGTCGGGCACAATTTAACTGGTTTTAACAACATTTTAGAAGGTGGGATAATCCCTTTAATGTTCATGTCTGGGTATGGGTTTTGGGCGCGCGGGCCGGCTGCTCCTCCCTAACCTTGCCTCTCCTTTCTCGGGGCTGCTGGGCCGCTCGCAGGCACCCGGGAGCCCAGCGAGCGCACCCACGTCTGTACCGTCTGCTACAAGGCCTTCATCCGGAAAGAGCATCTCCAGAGACACATGAAAATTCACGGTACGTGACGCGCCGACTGCCGTCGCGCCGGTCGCCGCCACCGTTAGTCCGACAGCCGCGCTCTGGGCGATCTTTGTACCAAATCATCAGCTATTTTCCGAATTGATGTCACGCTCCTCGGCCGCCAGCCGTCCGCTCCGCAGCGCCACTTCTTTTGCCCACCGCCGCCGGCTGCTCCGTTCCGTTCCGTTCCTCCCGTTCTGTTCCGTTTTATCCGTCGTCCTTTCCCGTTCTATCATATTCATATCAGCGGGCGACTCCTGTGGACAGCTCACACGCATACCCTGGGTCATGTCACGCCACAACAGGCGCGCCTCGTCACTAGCTTAGAACCAGCCCGCTCCCCGGCTTTATCGGACTCTGCTAGCACAGAAGCGACCCTGGGTGCTCTCAGATGCACAGAAAGTCGAGCTATTACAGACCGACAGCGCCTCGGCTCCAGTGATCAGCGGTCGCCGGCATGCTGCTCTCGGCAGAGATCGGAGAGTGATCGCTCTCTATCGCGGCTAACCTATGAATATTTGAGGGCAGCCCGGCGATAACCGTCCGTAGAATGCCACCCGGGAGTCGCTGCCCTGTCGTCGCCGACACGACTCTTACTGAAAGTAGAACGCTGCTGCTAGCGTCGTTATCTGTCGCCAGTAGTAGAAAATGTCCTGCCAGAGACTATGTAGGAACCTGAGAACGCAGCTTTGGCCGATACACATCAGTCGTCTGGGTATTCCCCTCTGGGCTGCCCCCCCCCCCCCTCTGATGGCCCCCGGCCCGCCACGATGTCCCGCTAATGAGAAATCAGTCCCTCCGGCCGCGGCCGGCCGCGGTCAGAGCCGCCCAGGGGTTTTTGCCGCTCAACCGTCGCCGCGCCGGAGAGATTCCTCCTAATTGGGACGGGGATCCCCCGAACAACGCGTGCCGGGCTGGATGACGCGCAGTGGCAGGGCTATTTCCGGTCCGAGTGGCCACCGGAAGTGTTTGGGTTTCGGTCCATTTCCGCCAGCGGGTCAAGGGCAAGGTTGGGCCGCGGCGGATGGTGGCGTGCAAGCAGATGGCAGGCGGGCGGTGCTCTGACGCGTGAGTGATTCTGATTCGATCTGTGCTCGGTTTGAGCCACCTGAACAGCTACAACTGAGCTACAAAGGCGAGACTTTGGACGGATTCTTGAGAATCAGTGTGCCAAAGTCCCGTGGTTTATTATTTTTTGCATATTTAACGATAAAATGAGTATCTAGAAGCAGCGGGACCGTGTGATGCGTTTTGAAACGTTACCATATATCACAGCCGCTGCGGTGCTGAAGTCCATTTTGTTCGTCGTTAGTAGCCGAGCGTGTATGTGAAAAATGGCCCGAGGGAAGCGGCGGGAAACGGAGAGCGCTGATGATGCCTGACATTTTGTCCGCTCCGACGCCGTCCCCTCCTCCCTCCCCGGCGTCTGTGGTCTCTGCGGGCCGCCGACAGTCTGCGCCCACCCCCCGGGGCCGCCCCTCCCTTCCGGACGCCGCCGCCGCCCTGCGCGATATCTGTCGGGCCATAACGAGGAGCGGCGGCTGATGGCACCGTCGCAGACCATCGCACGGTAGGCGATCGGGCCGGTCTAGCCTCGCGAAACCTCAAAGACATTTTTTCCGAAAATTGGAAAACAACGCATACTAGTCGACAGAAAATTCATCAAAGATTACGATTAGTGCATTTGCATGGCTCAGGAGACATTTTTTCGTAGACAAAAGTATCGTTAAAGACAGCGTTCCGTAACACTTCATAAGGGGGATAATCACAGCCGATTTTTACGCTCTTTGAATATTTTGCGGAACGATGAAATTGCTAGGTGTTGAGCATCCATTTCGCATGGAAAGTGAAATTTAGGTGTTAAGACAATTCCGCCATAGAAAGCAAGTAGACAAAATCAGTTCAAAATGTCTTATAATTAGGTTAACTTTTTATATTTTTTTCTACCACTGAACATTACGTTCACTGAATTAACCAAGCCCAGCAAAAAAAGTTTTACGAGGATGAACTGAAAATACTGCTGTATCGCATGCACTAAGACACTATCTATTAGGGGAGCCAGTGAAAATTTGCAGCAACTTGCAGCCCTAGCATCCAGACACTTTTTTCTTCTAAGGGTTGGCCGTGGCTTGGTGCACTTGAGCACAAGTGGTAAATGCCCCAAAGGGTGTTTTCGCGATAGCTCAAAACACCCAGGCAATAGAGAGCTGCAACCTGGCATACCTGACCTTTGATGCACGCTGGATCTTGTGACACCAGCCGCACTTTCAAGTCAGGTCAGGTCACTGACCTATGACGTCATAAATGAACCTCTGCACGATCCTCAGATGTCGCAACCTTGCAACGCTCTCAGTGCCAGAGTAACTTTCACAGGGAGGTGAGACTTGCAGGACTTGTTGTTCTTCAGAGGTCTTCCAACTTGCATATCTCAGATTTTTCCTAAATGTCACATAAAGTCAGGTTGGTCACGTGACCTCACCTATAAGTCAATGGGGAAATATGAAAACTGTTATTTTGGCGCCAGGAATGATATTCAATTGTCTCAAATACATGGAATCGTTACTTCATGCACTCCTTGCAAGATCTGATGCTGCATTTTTGCATTGTTGACCTTGCATGACGTCATTTATGACGTCACTAGGGTCATACGAGTTTTTCGTCAATAACTCCCAATCAAATTGAGCTAGAGAGTCGACAAGGTCACCAATGGACTCCGGAAGACCTGCCGAATCGAATGATATGCGATATGACCTCCTTCGACCAACTTCGTGATTTGAAGACCTCTGACCTGACCTTGACTCGAGGTCAAGGCCAGGTTGACCTTACGGTGGCCTCACCCAAACAAAAGTATACCATTCGACACGCCTGAGCAAGGCGAACACGACGATGTCAAAATCGTGGTTCTGCGGCCATTTTTTGCGAAGCTATTTACCAAAAACCAAACCCGCTGCTTGGGTCATGTTATGAAATGGGGCCTTGCCGGGCGAGATTTACGCTGTTTCATGATATGTATAAATTGGTAGGGCATTATCGTATGAATAAAAATTGGTTTGGAAGCAATTTTCTATGGAGGTACACACCATTTCAATGTCCTACCCAGCTCATATCGTCATAAATTTCGACCTACCCTCAAAAGTATTCATGCGTTATTCGAACAGCAATTAGGCAAATTGCAAGCTCGCCACAGAGCACAAATCCTATAAGAGATAGTCCTTATTTAAAACATATGCTCATTGGATATACAAGAAGGTTGCTCCTAAATATTGTGGTTCTAGCTTCAAAAACATGGATGTTATGAATGCCGATAGGTTTCGCGAGGCTACACCGGCCGGATCGCCCACTGTGCATCGGTCTCACTCGCTCACGGGATATGATTGCTCACCCCCCCCCCCCTCCTCCCGGGGTCGTGCCGGGGGTGGGGTCAGCGGTACGGTAATGCTCCCGTGTGGGCGGACGCGGGCCGATGTTGACTGCGGTTAAATCTTGTTGACTCGCCGCCCGGGAGCAAGCAGAGCAGGGTGAAAAAACGACGCGAATGTTCGCGGCGGGTCGCTCTGTGCCGGCGCCATTGGAGTCTGAGGAGAAAGGAAGGCAGACAGAGGCGGGCCGGGATGTCAGAAAGGTCAAGTCGTCAACACCATAAGTCGCCATAATCTGCCATGGCAGTCCACTGAGTCGGGTCTGCGAGTCATGGGGCCATTTCTGGAGTTCGGCAGTGGTGTCGTCTTTTTCCGACAGGATGTCATATGTCGTAGAGTTCCGCTGCAGAGTTCCCGGGACGTGTTATTTGTTGTGCTGAATTTTCAGAAGCAATTAGCTATGATCTATGGGCAGGCCAACGATGTGTTCCGGTCAGTTTGTTTGGCTTTGTTGCCCGGACGGCCAATGTCGCTTGTTATTTGTAAAGCATGGCCGCGAGTTTGGCTGGCCCGAGTCTGGCCTCTGTCCTCTGTCCAGACCTAACCACCCCAGCTCTGTATCCGTTCTGTGATGTCCGCTCTCTGAACTGTGTTCGAGACCTGCTCTAGCTCGGCTCCCACTGCCATTACCCAGCTTCTCACCGCCTCACGATCCCAGTTTCAACCATCCGAAGGCGGCTACTGACCAGGCACTGGCAACACTAGTGACACACACTGGTACACCACTTACCACGGATACAGTGCGAAGCGTGAACTTGTTGGCAGCAGTTCAAATGCTTAGACACAGACACGGCCTCTCAGCCGCCAAGAATGGGCTCACAAGAATCACCGCGACGTGGCGGTCACTGGATACGTGTTTCTCGCCTTATTGAGGCGGCTTATTGGCGTCCAAGCCAAAGGGCAGTCACCAGTAGTCTGCGCAGTTCCAACTGGTAGCAGCAGAAGACACTTCAGCTGAGTGTGCGAACACGGTAGGGGACCCTAGGGGACCCTCGAGTCGGGGATGAGAGGGACGTTGCCGGACGGGCGGTGGCTCAGAGCGGGTCACAGGCGGACGGACACTGGTGTCTGACCCTCGGTCGGGGCGGGGATTGCGGCCAGCGGACGGCGGGCAGGGCGAGGGCCGCGGCGCTCCGCCGAGCAGTGCCCCCTCGGCGCACTGTGCCTACATGTGCCCGTGTGTGTGTGTGCCGCAGAGCCCGGGTACGTGCCGGCCTCTGCGCGGCCGCCGCCGGCCGATCTGGACAGCCGCGAGCGGCCCCACGTCTGCCAGTTCTGCGGCCACTCGTTCCTCCGACGCTACCACCTTCAGCGCCACTTGCACACTCATGGTGAGTGGCCTGCGCGCGCGCACACACACACGGCCACTAGATAAACCAGGGGTGGTGAATTTCCGAAATTCGCAGCTTTCCCACACTAGCGCTGGAGGTTGTGCCACTCTTACCGCCCGCGGTGGAACCGGAATCGCATCCTGCTTCTATTGCTCCGCCGGCCACCGCTTACGCAGATCCTGTGTTCCGCACTGCCAGTCCTGACTCCTGCGTGGTCCTGCCGTTCCCCCGACCCCTCCAGTTGATGGGTCCATGCTCTGTCGGGCGGCGGCCGGGCGGTGAAGACCTGAGACGTCGATCAGGTGCGGCGGAGACGGCCGCGCAGGCGCGGACATCCCACTCTTGCCCGTTTGGGTATTACGAGTGAACTGAGTGACCCTAAAATCAGGGGAACAGGGCCCGGAGGCCGCCGCTAGTAGAGAATGGGCGCTGGGCGCTCGTTCGACAGTGCCCGCTGGTGTCCTACTGGCACAGCGAGTGCCGAACGAGCCAGGACTAGGAGGGGCTGTGCTCTCCCTGTCTGCCTGACGCGGCGATAGACCTTTCTGAGGTGTGAGGCAGTGGTCGAGCCTGTGCGAAGCGGAACTGTTGGACCTGAGCCCGGTGGGTCGGGCTCCGCCGGAGACGCTTTGTACCGGCGCGGTTGTGTTGAGAGAGCCGGCCCGGGAGCAGACTGCGCCTCCCTGCCGCACCTCCCCGGGCCGGTGATGTGCCTCAGTGCCTGTGCCTGGCCGGAGTCTCCCTCGGTGCCTGTGCCTGGCCCGAGTCTCCCTCGGTGTCTGTGCCTGGAGTACCCCGGGAGCAGTCTGCGCCTGCCCGGGTCCGGAGTTTGTCACGTGCCTGGAGTACCTACCTCCGGGGGCGGCTCGGTCGGGCGCGGCGGACGGTGGAGACGGTGGACCGGGGGCGCACTGGGCTGGGACCGGGACGGGTGAGGGTGGGAACATTGAGTACAGTGGATGGGAGCATTGGGCACGGTGGTTGGGAGCATTGGGCACGGTGGTTGGGAGCATTGGGTGCAATAAATGGGTATCTTATCAATGGTGCTGAGTAGAAGGGCTTGTAGCTAGACTTACGAGACAATTAGCGCTGCCTTTTCTCTGAGCGTCTGTGAACGTTCGCTCCGCTTTATGCGTTGCTTTATGCCGCCCAATTCCAATTTATCTACATACATACCACGCGGAGTACTGGCTCTTCATAAAATGCAATTCGGATGCTTCATTTGCCCGGTTTTACGAGGCAGCCTCCTGCCGGCGATTCCCGGTGCGTCTGCTGACCGCTCCGTCCCCTCCCCCGACTGGTCTTTCGCCAGATCCGCCCCTGGACGAGCCCCAGCCTCGTCATCCGTGCGACCTCTGTGGCAGCACCTTTCTCCGACGCGAGCACATGAGACGTCACCGCAAGACACACACCGGTGGGTGCTTGGCGCGCGCGCGCGCGAACGGCGGGCCCAACTGACCGGGAGCGGCGCGCCGCCACGTGTGGCGGGTGCTTGTGATGTTTGCGATGCTTGCGATTTGTTTGTGATGTCTGATAATGCCTAGCCTTTAGATCACCGCACTTTTTGTTATATTGCTATGCTTTGTTAACTTAAAACGCTTGTGCAACCTGTGTTTTAATGGTAGAGGATTTCATTACGATTGCGATAGCCCATCTGCCGCGGCCCCTCCGACTAAACTCCCCCATCGTTACCCTCACCCTCCCCACAGGCAAGAAGGAGCACGTATGCTACCTGTGCGGCAAGGCCTTCTTCCGCCGTGAGCACGTGCGCAAACACGTCATGAGCCACACCAAGAGCGGCTCGGCGGCGCCGACTGGGCGTCCGGAGCGTCAGCCGCCGGCCACAGTGCAGCTGCAGGCTGGGACGGCCACCGCTCAGTCGCTGGGACTGGAGGGTACCGACCTCACTGTCGACTCAGGTGAGTGGGACGACGGGGCAGCGTCAGGTCAGTTAGAGGGACGGTGGACGGCGGGGCAGAATCAGGGGAGGGTCAACCAGACATGATAGGGTCAGGTCAGTCAGATGGATGGTCAGGGTCAGGTCAATGTCAGACTGGGGGCAGGAGAGGGCCAGTCAGATAACGGGGCATGGCCAGTCCAGTCCAGTTGGTTTGGTCAGGCCGGCCGCAACGAACCTCGCTAATGATAGCCGTGGCCGGCCGGTCCGGCAGCTCATGCCTCCCATCAGGGCGTCGTTAGTTGCAGCAGCGATGGGTCGGACCGTCCTCCCCCTCACCCCCGAATTGTAATGGGTGTACCCACCCAGTTGATGGTCAGAGTCGAGGGCGGTTCACGACGGGAGTCTAGTGTTTTTGTGTGGAGGTGGCTGCTGCATAAGGCTAGCTGCAGTTAAGTAGAGATGCGATATTACGTGATTTATACAGACACCGCTTTCCCGTCTTGATGCGATCGTGTGCGAGGTATGTCTGTAGCCTTTGTATTAACTCTCTTTATGCTGCCGTTGTACACACTGCTCTGCGCGTTCTGCCGTGTCTTTCTAAACGCTAACACCTCCCCTCTGCGTCTCCGCAGCCGGTGGCGGCCTGGAGCCCCAGCCGGGCCCGTCGCACCACGGCGCCGCGCCGGCCCACCAAGCCCACCACCTGGCTCAGCAGCAGCACCAGCCGCAGAGACGCACACCATCGGACGTGCCGCGCAACCACGTCTGCACTGAGTGCGGCCGCCGCTTCAGCCGCAAGGAGCACCTCCAGGTATGGACCGAGTGATCAATGCACGACTCGTGACGACTCGGTGTGACGGATGGCCGCACGGTCGAATGGCCCGGAATGGGTTATGCGGTAGGTGTAATGGTCTTCAGTCGACGAGCTTGGTGTGCGGTTAGTTTTGATTATGTGGTCCCGATATCGTTTATCTTCATAATTGCGGTAGCGGGTCGTTTTGCTGGCCATATTTACGTTAGTTAGTCGCCGAATGGGCCGGGCTTGTATTGATGTTTGCCGTTGAATGCGATTTATGGTGGTTTGGTGGTACCGTGGTTGGGGACAGGGTCCGTTCTGGCTCCATGGGACTGATCCTCGTCTCCGATTGACTGATCCGATTGACTCCGATTGACTGATCCTTGTCTCCGGCAGCGCCACGAGACCACCCACTCTGGCACACGTCCGTTCGCCTGTACCACGTGCCACCGCACCTTCAACCGCAAGGAGCATCTGAAGAAGCACCAGCAGGCGCCCAGCTGCAGCCGCGCTGCCTCCGCCTCCGGGGAGCCGCTCAAACGCGAGTCGGACGAGTCTTCACTGCAGGCGCCGCCGCCGCCGCCGCACGTGCAGCCGCCCACCTCGCTGCTCGGGTTTCAGCCGCAGCTGCCGCAGCACGTACTGCTGCCGCAGCATATGCTGGGCGCCGTGAGCACTTCACACGCGCTGGACATGTCCACCCAGGCCCAGCAGCAGCAGCAACAACAGCAGCAGCAGCCGGCGCACCAGCAGCAGCCGACGGCGGTGTCATCTGCTGCTGCGGCAGCTGCTGCAGCTGCCCACATGGCTGCCGTCTCAGCGGGATGTGAGCAGACGCGGCCCCTGCAGCTGTTGCTGAAGTGAACCGCCCCCGCCCCCGCTGCCCTGATGTAGGGACGGAGAGAGAGCGGGGATACGCCTGCAGAGCGGTGACGCGGGGAGAGAGAGAGACCGACCAGTGTCTCGGAGGAGGCACGGACGCAGCGCTGCCTGCCGTGAGACAGTGAGACACGCCGTGCCGAGACAGCAGTGACTCGTGAGCGCGTGTCGTGACTGCCCGGCCGTGTGACCGGGCGGCCAGTGCTGCCATATGCCGGGCGGCCAGTGCTGCCATACGCGGGCGTCGCCGAGCCGCCCGCTCGCCCGTCCTAGTCCGCCGTCGGCGCTAGTCGGCTGCGCCGCCGGACCGCCCGCCCGGAGGGAGGAGCCGGTCGAGTGGGATCACAGAGTGACGGCTACCGACTACCCACACCCTCTCCCTTATATGTGCGACACGCGACCGCGACTCGTCTAATTCCAGGGTTAGTTTTATGCAGTGTAACCTGACCGGTGCTGGCAGCCATGTGACTAACCGGCGGATGACAGGGGTGGTAGGCTTAGGTGATCGCGCCGCAGCGCGCCGCGAAATACGCGAGCTTCTTAGTTTCCGAGTAGTTGTTGGTCGCGGTGGTGCTGCGCGGCTCGACTGCCTGCTTTGTGTCCGGCGGCGCGGGACCGGGGCGTTTTGTGACCTCGCTCTCTATCGGCCTTCCTTCGGTAGACTTCCGTTATAAACAGCCTGTCTGCGACGACAAGTTTTTGTTATTATCGGCTCGATAGCTGACAATGGCCCACGGCCGGCCGCAGCAGGCGCTGAAAGGTGTTTTGCTGCGGCGAGTAATTTGTGGGAGGGTCGGCGGAACGTTCTTATTTCAGTTTGGGGTTATTCGTGACGGCGTGGGATAAATGTACCGGAAAGGAACGCTCCGGAACGATGGGACCTGAGCACTTTCCAGGTCAGGTGTTTAAAAACGGGCTGCTTGTTGTCACGGTTTCCATAGCAACCTCGCACAGCACCAGCACGCGCTGTTAATCTCGTTTTTTTTTCCTCTGGCCATCGAACCAGCCGCTGGTGACCCACTCTGTCTGACGGCTGACACCGATACCACCACTATATGCTCTCTACACTCGTCACCGTCGTCCGCGCGCGGCCCGCCGGCGTCTCTGTGACGGGCCGTGACGTCTCTGTCCGCCGCGTGACGCCCTCGCAGTGCCCGGCCCGGTGTCGGCTCCCACGCGGCGACCCATTGTCCCTCGTCCTCCTCTCCTCCCTCTGCGTCCGACAGTCGCCTCCATTGCTGTCCACTCCTTAGAATTGTCGCCAGTTAGGAGCACCTCGGCCACTGGGCCGCCATTGTAGCGGCCTCGTTTGTACCGGCGGCCGGCGCGCGCGAAGTGGACAGATCCGTTAGCGTTAGTGGCTTTTCTGAACGGTGGAGGCGGGCGTGTGTGTGCTTTGGGGTGGGGGGAATTCGGCGCCGGGCCTTGGCGGCAGTTTGGGCGCTATGGTGGGCCGTCCGCCGCCCGCCGCCGCCCGCTGCTCTAGTCAACAGACGGCCCCGGAGTGGAGGCCGGGCCCAGTCAGCCGCGTCGCCGGGGGTCGACCACGCGCTGCCGAGCGCCGCGCGCCAGCACATTTAGTGATAAGATCACCCGGCTGCCCGGAGCGTGTGCCTGCCTGTGTGTGTGTGCGCGCGTGCACATAGTATTTTGCCTCTCGCCTGTGTGTGCCAGTGTGTGTGCGTGCACCGAGAGGCGCCGGGCGGCCCCGCCCCCGCCCCCGCCCCCGCCCCCGCCGCGGCGCAGACGGCAGTACAAAACTGCGGCGGCCGGGCGGACGGGCGGCGTCACTTGGTGTGTAGTCTGGGCGGGCGCCGCTGTCCGGACCAGTGAACAGGGTGACCGCGCGGGGCAGACACAGGACCGTGTGGTAGGTAGTTTAGCCGCCGACTAGAGGTGCAGGCCCGCCGCGCCGCTCGCCTTTTCTGGTAACGTGTATCTGACGCGTGTGTGTGTGCCGCCCGGCAGGGTGTTCTGGCTATCTCTCTGTTTCTCTTGTTTCTGTCCGTTGAGTTTCGTGCGATTTTTCCTCTCCGGTCGGCCTTTGGTCACGTGACTGAGCTCGGCCAGTGTGTGGGGCCGCACGGTGGTGGTCATGTGACTTGCGGGGCCGGCCACACATACACACACATACACTGACTGTTAGCTGAGTATTGTCTGTGTACGTAGCGTCTTTGATTAAACCGTAGAGGATGTTTTGTCCCGAAAGTTCTGTGAGCTTTATATGCCATGCTGATATTTTGTAACTGTGCTGAGTGTTTGAATATAGTCACAGCCCAATGTTTTGTTTTAGCAAAGTGAAGTGGTGAGATTTGGGGTCGACGAATTGTTGAAGTCAATGCACGAGGCTTTTCCCAAACACAAGCTGACCTCAAGATGAATCGGTTTTAACCCTCGCCCATGTAGGGGGGGGGTTGGTGCAACCCCCCCCCCCTGAGGTTTTTCGGAAATAGTGCAAAAACGGCGGCGCGCAGCGCCGCCAAATTTTGGGTACCTTATGGGGCAAACCTTGCGCATCTTTTGATAAAAAAAATTTGACCGGGTCATGTCAGGTCAGGGAGTTATGACGTCACAAAGGGAACAGCCTCCGGCCGGATTTTCACAAACTGAGTGCCAACGCCCGAGGTTTCCCGCCGGTGGTACGGACATCGGTTGATGGATCGTGATGAAACTTCCCATGCATGTTGGGGCAAGTATTGGCTATCATATGGTATAAGAAACTTGACCGGGTCAGGTCAGGTCACGGAGCTATGACGTCACAAGAGGAACAGCGTCCGGTACTATTTTTGAAAAGCGCCCGAACCACTATTTTGCTAATTCTTGTCACCTCAATGGGAATATGCAGCAATATTAGCTTCTATAGGGAGCAAATGGACCTTCCAAATCCAAAAATACAATCAGATTTCAAAAATTTAAATTTTGATTTTTCGAATTTCTGCCGCCGACTGTGACCTTGCCGACTTCCGGCGCTCCCAACGCGCCATTTTTAGAGCTAGGGAAACGAAATACATACCAAACGATAGAGAATTGATCAAGGAACACGATAGTGAAGGTTTCAAGTCGATATCTCCCACCGTTTTGCCGCAATCGCCGCGGAAAGTTGAAAAAAGTCTATTTTTCCGAAAATTTGACCTTTGACCGGTCAAAAGTAGGTCAAATGTTGACCTAGGACCAAAAAATATACCACCAATCGCGAGATCTCGGCGAGAGCAATCCGTTGGTCTTTTCCGCTAAGCTCTACGACGCTCCGTTTTCAAACGCCAAGGGGGGGGTCGCACCAACCCCCCCCCTGCATGGGCGAAGGTGGCAGATCGCCGTTTACGGGCGAGGGTTAAGTAAAACAGTAGGTAATAATAATTCCTGGAGTGGTGCGTAATGCAGTTTTTTTAGTGTGTATTAGCACTACTCCAGCCCCTGCGCCACTGCGGTGTTGACGCAGGCTTCCCGGACACGCCCTGGGGAAATAAGAAAGGTCCTCATGTTACTCAGGAGAGCGATGCGCATGTGGCTAAAGCCTTTAGCTAAACAGTTAAACACGCAAGGTTCTGAAAAGGTAACTTTAATATTGTTACTTCGTGGATAAGAAAGGAAACTAATACAGATTACAGAGATTGTTGAATTTCTAGAACAGCGTCGGAACCCGACTCGTTCCGGGAACTTAATTGGGCCCGGGAGTCTAGCTTGTATGGTCAATTTCCCATCCGCCGGCGGGCCACTTCTGTTCAGAGTGGCCAATTTTGCACTGAAACCCACAGGGTCGGAGGTAGGAGGAGAGGTCTCGAAAGCCATCCAGAAAACATAAAACAATGCCATCCCCGAGTGTCTGTCTTATTCAGCTCTAGAAAATGTGTTGTTAGAAGCACCCAGGCGGCTTGGAAAACAATCACATTCTTCGGTCCGTGTGTCTAGAACCGAGCGCAGAAATCGGGCGCGGTTGGGCAGCCCGCGACTGGAGGTTAGACTGACCCGCAACACTCGACGGTACGGCGGCGCAGTATGGCGGAAAAGAGCCTTCGAGCCGATCGGCGCGGCGTCCGTGGACCTGCCGCAAGATACTTTTGGAATCGGGATTTTTCTACCCTGTGCAACAGCCAGGATGCGGATAATGGGCAGCAGCTCCTAATGTAGTAGCTAGGCACATAGATTTCGGTAGGTCGTACATGTCCGGAGAGATCGCCAGCAGTTTTTCTACGATGATGCTTGATCATGGCATGGTCGAGCTAGAGCGATGTGTTCGGCACAAAACATTTTATTGACTCCTACGCAGCTTGACCTGTCACAGGTGACGTCATGACCTTAACCTGAGGTCAAATTTTCAAGCTGTTCTTAACGCTCGCCGGTCGAGGGGCGTGTGCCGGCCCCTTCCTGACGGCTTATTTTTCGCAATTTCTCGGAACGCGCCGGCGATATAGAGGCTGACAGTCGGCGCACACCTGACTTTTGATTCAAGGCAAATTTTTTGGCACCAACTGCTTTTTAGATCAGGCCAGGTCACTGACTTATGACGTCATAAGTGAACTTCTGCACGCCGCACGGTCTTAAAATGTCGCAACTTCGCAACGCTATATACCGGCACTACCAGAGGAGATTTTGCAGGGAAATGAAACTTACAGGACTTGCATAACTTCCCGAGGCCTCGCAAATTGGATGTCTCAGATTTTTTCCTACGGGTCGCCTGAGGTCAGGTCGGTCATGTGACCTCCGTCTCACTATTATAATTCAATGAGGAGATATGGAATCTGTTATTTTGCCGACGGAAACGATCTAGGGACTAAGACTACCTCAAGCATATATGGAATCGCTGTTTCATACACTTTGTGCAAGGTCTGACGCTAAATTTAAACATTGCGTGACGTCATATTATGGCGTCTGGTGAAACTTCCGAAAAGATTATCCTTAAAAAAAGAGCTTGAAAGAGCAGTGCTTTTAGGAAAACAAACGCTCTATTTTATGTGAAGGTGATGTGCCAATCTCGACAGCGGCCGAAGTACCCGCCCCATTGCCTGTCTTGGCGAAGATGGAAAAGGCTCTAGATAGTTATATAGCTGGATAACTGGAAAGGAATGTTTGCGAGAGTTGAAAATTGATGCGGTAGCGCAACTCGCAAACAGAGAGCAACGCGCCGTGCGCCCTCGGTCTCCGATACGCGCTAGAAGATTATCAGCTGATCGCTAGGAGATCGCTATCGCCAGCGGATCGCTAGGAGATCGCTAGTGCCTCCGTTCAGCGCGATTTGTTTCACTCGACGCCGACTCATGTGAATCGTGGTGCCATCAGGCGGCGCTGAGCGACGCGGGCGTCACGACGCGGCCGCCGCCTGCCGCGCCATTGCGCCCATATGACGCTCTCGGCCGGCATCCTGTTGATCCAGCCGCCCGGCACCCTCATTCTGTGCCGGCATATGAAGCGGGCCGTTTGTCCCCTGATGTCGGCCGTTCAGCGGCCCCGTTGGGCCGGCGGCCGTGGGAGGGCAGCAGCTGGCCGGTTCCTCGGCCCTTCCGACGGCCCGTCCACGCCGACAGAGCGACCCTCCGCCGGCAGGGGGTCATGGCACAGCACGGGCGCAGCGCAGTGGGACGAAATCGACGCAGGCGAGCTTCAGTTATGTCGTTACCGCAGCGGAAATGGTCCAAATCTGGCGATGAAGACAAAAGTGTGCTGGGGTCAGAGCGGTGCTTCCCAACTACAATGAAGGAACTTTGCAGATGATAGCAATGCAATGACGGGTATCGAACCGTGTTCCCGAGGCAGAATGCGCTTCTGTGGTTAAAGTCTGCACATTGTTTTCAAACGTGAGTACAATCGGTGACATTTGAAGGTCGTGGTGGCTCAACGTTCTTATTTGCTATAAGTAGTTCAGCGGTGTTTGAAACCAACCACTAACGAGCAAAGTTTAGACGGCATATTCTTCCGCAGTCAACTGAAGCTGTTTGTTCCCAGAAAGTAGGACCTACCCAGACAGACTATACGAGGGGGAGGGCCACATTTTCTCTCAGTGTAAAACTTACGGGAACGCTCCCGCAACTGTTTGTATAAGACTGTTTACATGTTTTATGGGCGCTAAATGACCTTAGTAGTCGGCGCGCTCTAAAACCCCAATCAACAAACTGCTTACCTATACTATGCCCTATGGCTTTGTTGTATCACGAGTGCATCCGTAGGCTGTTAGCTATTCACTTGTATGTTCCACTTGTATGGTCTCATGTTGACTAATCACAGCGTGGTAGGTAACCATTCTATGTAGCAATTTGTTCCAGACTATGTATGATTTCCAGTCTATGGATTGGTGACTACAGCTTTGCGAGGAAACGGATTAATGCGAGAACAAAGTACCTATGGCTCGGTGAGCCTCTGCCAGTGAGTGTCCTTTGTTTGCGATTTGCTGTACTACTTTGTCGCGAAATTCAGCTGATGACCGCTCTCCGACACTCCGTGGGAGTGCATATGCTAAATAGAGTGTTCTCGAGCTTAGCCCAAGTTAAATGGATTATAGCGTAATGACTAGCCTCGCAATTCTGTGAGACAGTGGATTTAGTCAGCACCAGGCAACTCAAGAATGTAAGTTCTGTGATTATGCAAATGAAATGACGACATATTTCGTTACTTCTCGAATACACCTGTTTGCGATCTCTCTCTTTCTTTCTTTCTTTCTCTCTCTCTCTCTCTCTCTCTCTCTCTCTCTCTCTCTCTCTCTCTCTCTCTCTCTCTCTCTCTCTCTCTCTCTCTCTCTCTCTCTCTCTCTCTCTCTCTCTCTCTCCTCCTCTCTCTCTCTCTCTCTCTCTCTCTCTCTCTCTCTCTCTCTCTCTCTCTCTCTCTCTCTCTCTCTCTCTCTCTCTCTCCTTTTCTTCTCCAAAATTCACGAATAATGTTACATATTGATGAATGATTTCTTAGAATGCTGCAAGCGCTGTAAGGAATGCGTGACTAAGTGAAAATGGCACGGCATGCTACTCGAGATTTTTCATCTCAACTAGTGGATGCTGATGGTCGTCTTGTAACGGATCTTCTATGTCGTACTTCCTTCTTATTGGGTTTATTTGTTGTCAAGCTAAACATTATCGACCAAACAAAATGCCACTCATTCAAGCTCGCACAGAATAAAGAATCAGCTTTTATTGTGAGACAAGTTATGAAGACATGTTAAAACATCTTCGAACTATTACATCTTTTAAAAACTACGAAGAACTAATCATCCTCGAACGGGAATCGATCTATCAACGATTATGAGATGTCAGTTCGAGGCGGACAAAGGCTTTGAGGTTCGAAGCAGAAAACTGGTG